CGGCAGCCCCTGCCCCAGCCCCCCTCACTGTGGGGGCCTTGATCTGTCCCCCCCACCCCTCCCCTTCCCTTCCTTTTCCTTCCCCCTCCCCTTCCACCATACCAGACTTACCAGCTGGAGGTAGCTCTCCGCGCAGCCTGCGTATGGAAATCGGATCAGTATAGGCCAATATGCATCTTAAAAACTGGCTATTGGTATCGGCCACAAAAATCTCTATCGGTGCACCCCTACTGATAACCCTCATAACTCTTCTTTACCTGTGGCAGGTTAGGGTGTTTAAATGTCTTTCTGCAGTATGCCTTGTAGTTGTGCGACAAGGCTGACTGTCTATGTAACCCTTCTGTCAAGAACAGGATGGCATCAACAAGGGCTGAATTCCATTTAGAGGTTATATGCAAATCTTCTATCTTGGCTCAAGTCCCCACCCAGAAACCTGGGAAAATAAAAGCTGCTTAGGGTGTTCCAATGTGAACAAACCTCCCCACTCACAAGCAATATTAGCTAAACTAAAACAGGGTTTATTAAAAGTGAAGGAAATGGGACAACAAACAGCCTTAGGAAAAAAACTCTTAATAGTCAGTAGCCCACCTCAACCAACTAGTAACAGTTTATCACAGTTAATGTGTTCAGAGTTCTCTCTTAGTCCCATACAAGATGAATTTGGCAGCTAATGAAGCTAGTGTAGTACTAGTCCAACCTTTCCTCTTGCTTTACTGCTATTGGGGGGTACTGCACTGCCATTGCTGCTGCGCCTCACCATTCCTACAAAGCCCTGTTTCTAGCTGCTGATGCAGCCCAGCTTTCTATTACCTTGAGCAAGCTCAAGGATTTCAGCTTTTTTAGAATCTTTTAGATATTAGTCTCAACCTGATCTACTATGTGTGCTCCAAGCATTTCAACTGTTTTAGAAACAAGTGGGTAACAAGCCTCAACCTGAACCTGTTACAGAGGTTTGTATATCATGAGTACTCTTCCCTATAATGGTTGATGACAAAGTGCAATATCATCCCACAGGATAGCTCCTGGAAAGAGTTTCCCCCAAGCCTCCTTTGTCACCCCTGAGCTGAGGGTCCCCTCACCTTAGACCTCCACACAAGTCACAGTACATACTTCCCTTGGCAACCTTTGCCCCACGTTGGTACCCGTATAAACTTTACAGTTTTAGAAAGGAAGGTCAGAACACACAAACCTAACTCACCTAGCCCCTTACATTCAGACCGTTTCAATGCAGTCTAAGTGAGTTACACAGTTAATACAAGCACAAAGAGTTCCTGCTCCATTAATCATTCCTATCAATATGGATATTCAGGTAAGGGACACAGTTCCCAACTGTCTGACCAAGCACACCAATAGGGATAAACAGATAGGCATCACAAAGAAGCATAGAACAACAAGATTTCTTAATAGGGTTACATGTAGTTTTAGGAATAGGTTAGACAGGGACTTGTATGACATGATTTATATAGAGATGATCTTGCCTTGAGCAGAGGTTTGGACTAGATGACCTCTGGAGGTCCCTCCCAGTCCTACTTTTCTATGATTCTATGATAATAAGAATTAGTAAGAACTAATACATTAAGTAATTATTATTGCCACTTTTGGACGATGTCCAGAAAACATAAAAAGGTTTAGGGATCAGCTTCTGATGTTAACATGAACATGGGACTCAAAGGCAGCTGTGATGGACCAAAACAACCTGAGGGAGCTACCAGTAAAGCAAACTAGGTGCCCTTTTGTCCGTAATTTCACCTTCCTTTATGCATGGTTTATAGGGAGATTCAGTAGTTGGGTTCCATTAGGAAGAATTGAGTCAGAACTGTCCAACTGTTGGCTGGTGAGGGGAGGGTATATGACCCAAGGGCCCTGGCAGCTGCCTTTCCTGTTGCCATGCAGTGGGGGAAGCCTGGGAGGTCATGTGCTGTCAGTGCTGGCTGCACAGTGCTGCCTGCAGGGGAGGCTGTGTGCCACGGGCATAGCCCATGTTGCAAGGGAGATTTGGGGGGAGGGGGCAGGGCGGGGAGTGCCCTGGTAGCATGTGGCCAGCATGGTGTGCAACCCAGGGGCCGCATACTGGCCCTGCCTGTGGCCCCAGCCATGCTGAAGTTGGACAGCCCTGAATTAGGCTAAAGGGGCTGACTCTCATTCATTGTAGGATTACTGGTTCAGTCCCATTAACCTCACACTAGACCTATATAAAGCCTGGTAATCTGGAAGAGTGAGGGTAGGGTAGGGTAGGGTAGGGTAGGGTAGGGGCACAATGTGCCTATGACTTGCTGCTTTATGCCGGATCCAGATGCATTTCTCCGTTCTTCTGTGTGTCCTCATTCAAATGTTCTTGTCCCTGCGTTAGAAGGAAGTGTTATAGTAACTCACAGGTAACAAACACTGAACTAGTCTAAGTGGCAATGATTTTGAGCTTTCATTCTATTCCTAAAATTCAGGAATGTGATGTTTGAGAATCTGTAAAAATTTTGTGTCAGTATCAGGCTTAGATCAAAATTTTCATACCTAGATGCCTACATTTTTTACTTTTAGCTCCATATTTAGGCACCTAGCTATTAGAAACCTGTTTTAACCTGTTTTCCAGAGGAGCTGAGTGGCCACAAATAGCATCAAAGCTGATGAGAGCTGCTGGTACTCAGCACATTTGAAAAATCAGATCATTTTACAGGGCCAAACTTAGGGACCAAACTTTGAAATTTTCAGTCTAAACTCATTCTTTGTTGCCCTGAATCGTGGAGTCATCATTTACATCAGTGTAAAGTGAATGTAAAAAACTGCTGTTGTGATATGGTTGCATTTTATACCTACTTTGTACTCACTTTCTCCTGGAGTTAGCGGTTCCTTAGTCAGTTTTCTTTTTCTTATTTCCAGCCCTGGCCTGGTGGTGACAGCAGAACATCATAAAATCAGTATTACTAGGGAATTGCAGAAAGCTACATACACATAAGCATTAAAGTAAATACATCAAAACGAAATACGTGAAACTGTTCCATTAGCATAACTAACAGCTGAAATGTAACATAACAAATCAACACATGTGCTGCGACATTTGGTATCATTCTTGAGTTTGCCTTTTAAGGCTGCACAAAAATTATTCTTGTTTTCGTTGGAACACAGATGAGAGTCAAGCTGAATCCAGTTTAAAGGGCCTGCTTATGGAAAACATGCCTTCCCAAATTTTGTGCTCACCTTTGGCACAATGAGACAATTATTCCAATTACTCCTAAGAGGATGCCAATGAGATTCTCGTAGCACATTGTCATATTTGTTTTGCTATTTACTACTAAAAGAAGAGACCTAGAGTGTTTCATAATTATTCTGCACATGATTATTAAAAGCAAGAATAAACTTTTATCACTGTATATACTTGTTCAGGGTTTCTTAGGTATCTTAATCTTAGTTTTATGATAGATTAATATGCTTTCCAGGGTGCATGACAGTATGTTCAGTGCAAGAAAATAAAGTGAGGATTTAGTGTAATGCACTTGAAAAAAAAAAAGGGGGTACCAGTAATCATCCAGAAATGTATGGCTAGTAACTATTCAGAAATGTATGCAGTTATTTCACTGTAAACACACATGTTGGAGTGTAAAATGAATTGGAAAAGAAAACCAGGAAAGAAACGTACATTGCAGTCTGCTATGAAAAATAGTTATTTAGGGTTAGAAAAATGTTAGACCATTATGGGAAATACTGTATTTTAATACCAGAGTCAGATTAGATAAAGAGAGTTATCATTATCATGAACGTGTTGAGGAACAATACAAGGAATTCAAATTTTATTTCTTTTGTGTTTTATGCATAACCCTAATTGTTCTGAGATTATATACCAGCTCGGGACAAGTTCAAACTAAAGCCCAAGACTTTGCACACTCTTGAATTCATAATCCAGATGTAGATCCCAATCTGAATTCCCAAAAAATTTGGTATCGTCAGATTTGCTCTGTTATAAATAATTTCAAGATGCAAACTATGATCAGGATTCCAGATCTGGGGTTTGGTTTGGACCCATCACTAACTTTTATACATTCATAGAAAATACGTAGCTGGAAGGTAGGAAAATTCTTTCTATGTTTCACTGAAGGAACAAAACCCTGAATAAATGAAGTTTGGTGTGCATGAAATTTTACATGAACAAAGATTTTTTTTAACTTTATATTCATTTGATTTAAAATGTTTTTCTTTTTTTGTAATGTGCAATATAATAGTCTATTGATTATTTAGGACACTGGCCAATATAGGAATTACACTCTTCTGGTGAGAGTCTTGAAGCTAGAATACTTTCCAGTGTTGCTCTTCCTAGGCATGGAGAACAAACAAGGCTACTGATAGATCCATCCTTTAAGAGGATACAATATGCTCTTCCCTCTGCTTCTGGCTGACTCCACTGAGCAGTGCAGAAGGTAGAAGGGTCATAATTATCAGCTCTTTTCTCTCCTTGGAGGTGACTAGCAGCATTAGAAGTGAAACCTCACAGTCCTTACATTCAGGTTAGTGTATGTCTGTAGTTGGGACTAACTGCTGCACAGGAATACTAAGGTTACTGTAGTCTTCTTTCCCCCCCTATCCCCTATGTATCTACACAGGCACTTCAGTACATTATGGTCCTATATTTTGCATGTGGGCTCTCACATCATGGTGGTGGGCATAATATAAAAAAGCAAAAGAATGTCAAAGATATAAATACTTCAGTGGCATAAATCTCTGTAGTTTCTTTGAAATCAATGAAACCATGTCTATTTATACCACCTGGCGATCTGGCCCTTTAGTAAGGGAAAACTGAAAGAACTCTTTTGTACCTAATTTACACATGAAAACTATGTTGTCTGGTAAGCAGTGATGGCACAAAGCGTGCCTTTACTTATGCCCTGATTCGACAGCAATTCTGCATGTGAAACAGAACTGAATTGGGTGGAAGTTCTACATGAAGAGTAACTGCAGAACAAGGCTGCTGTTGCAAAAGTAGTGAGTTCAGGTCCTGTAAATAACTTATGGTAAGCCTGATTACCTACGCAAACATAGATTTGGTTTTGCCCATTTCTAACCCAAAAAGAAATCTAAGCAGCTACATTTCACACACATAATATCATGTCAGAGAAAGAATAGTTCCATGCAACGAATGTGATTTTTCTTTAAAGCCGTGTTAGAATACTGCTAGCCTTTTAAAGGAGAAGCTTTAATGTATGAAATACATTAAGACATAATTTGGGTCCCCTTTGCCATTTCACAACTCCCATATGTAGTTTTATGATTTATAACAAGTGGACAAATGTAACCCGAACACTTTCTAATTTCACTTGAATAAAATGGCTAACTCAGTTTTAAGATGGCTATTTTATAGATACCACATCTTTATATGGTTGGACTGTTTCTTTTTAACTTGGCTTTTTTACATGAGAAATGTTTTGGATTAGATAAAATATGATGTAATTATAACTTTATTAGTTTTAGGGTTCTTCATAATAACTTCCAAGGTTTGACATCACTCTGTCTAGTTGGTGCTGTATCTGTTAAATTTCAATTTATTTTGGAATTATCTGAGGGTGGCCTAATTTATGACAGAACTTGGTGGGTTTCTTCAGCTAGTGTTCTACCTATGGGTTTGTTCATTCCCCAGCCTTGCCCTTGCACATGGAAACCTTTATTTGTGCTAACAAGTAAATGGAACATACTAAAAAACAAGTGCATCTAGGTCTTCTACGTTGCAGCCATGTAGAATAGGGATGTAATTCTGCCTGGGAATTACAGACTGTGGTCATTAAAAAATCTAAATGTAGGATTCCAGTCATGAAGGCTCCTTGAGTGTTAGCGTGGAATCAGGAGATTTTAAAGAACCCCTGATAAATTTATCAAGTTATTTGGGCCCAAAAAAAATGGAATTTTTTTGTCCTTTGTTTTTTCAAATGGAGAGGCTGACCAACCCCAATATGGTAATCTTTAAAAAATGTAAACTATTCAAATATTCCCTTTCTGTGATAGTCCCAAACACGCAAATAATTTTGCTAATGCTTGAAAAGCAGAAGGTAAAAACTGATCTGTCAAACTGAGTGATAGTAAAGAAGAGGCTCGTATTGTCGACTGATGTAAATTGTGGTAGCCTTGTTGAAATTGGTGAGCTATGCCAATTTATAGCTACTGAGAATATAGTTCCAAAGGTTTTATTGGTTCTTAAAATTTTTTTTTTAGCTTTGATAATACAAAGTCTTGGTGATAACAAAAGTAAACTGTGCTCTAAAATTATATGAATTTTACCAAAACAATGACCCTTTTTATTCAATTTTGTAGTCAGTCCAGTCAGAGTTATATCGGCCAGAAGAAATTTCTATACTACAGGGGTGGCCAAAATATGGCCTGTTGAGGGATTCTATCCAGCCTGTGGCAGGTCCCTTGGCCGCACCTACCCCAGGCACGGGGAACAGCCTGGGCCATGGTGCAAGGGGCCAGCTTGCCACTACCAGGCGTGAGGCAGGGTGGGGACAGCATAGCAGCTGGACCTGGCTCTCTGGCAGCTCCCATGGCAGTGGCTCACTCTGCCTGGCTGCTGCTGCTAGTGTCTCTATCCTAGCTGCTGGACCTGGCCCCACTGCCTTGGCACCCTGGCCCATTTGCCCCACACCCACTGCCAAAGGCACTGGATAGAGCAGGCAGGCAGGTAGGCCCTCCATGAAGACCGTCCCAGGACCCTGCATGCAGGAGACACTTGACTGGGTGGATGGTATGGGCTGTGGGGAGTGGAGTCTGGGAGTGGGGCAGGCAGGACCCCAGCCGGGATTGTGGAGTGGTGACAGCGTGAGGCTAGGGCAGAGCTGTGATCTGCTCCCCACATGTCCCTCCCCATGGAACTGGCACCCCCACACCTCACCATGCTGGGCCAGGTCAGGACTCTACAACAGCTCCCCAAAACTCCTTACGTGGCCCTCCATCCCAAATAATTGCCCACCTGTGCTGTACTAACTGATGTTTCTGGTTTTTCCGTTTTTTTCAGTGCTTGTATTTGAGGTAAATTATGGATCATTTTAAAAAGGAAATACAGATGTATGTCACTGTTTAAACACATCATTATAAATAAATAAAAGTTTGCCTTCTCTGAAGACTTATCCTACAAAAATGAAATGCTCTTAAGACAGAAATATCTTTGGGGCTCATCTCCTGACTTCTATATTGTCAAGTGGTAATCTCAAGAGCTTTTCTGTGATTATTTTATAAAAAGGCCATTAAAATATTTTTCTTGGGAAGGCCTTAGGGCTCAATTCTACCCTCTTATTACCTGACGTGGACCTCTGTACCATGGCAAGATCCTACTGAAATTGGTGGGGCTCAGCACAGCAGAGGATTCTGTGTTAGATTACAAAGCAAAAATGGAATTATTTTAAATTTGATTTTTATGAATTTAAACAATATTGAAAATGATAATCTTGCATTTGACAGACCAAGAAGTAACTATCTTTTCCAAAATGTCCCAATTCATACATTTCCCCAAATCATATACATTTCCCCAATTCATACATTTCCCCAAATCGTATATTGTGTGATAGATTAACACATTAGGTTATTATTAAATGTTGTAGTAATAACAAACTGGAAGTCATGCACAAAAATCCATATTTGTTGCTGCTGTTGTGATGTCCTGAACATAACTCAGGATCAGCAGGTGTGTTTGTGTAGGCATTATGTTATATATGATTTTGACACCAAGGCAACTTTTAATAAGTGGAAACAAGGAAGCCATGGAGTTGTGACAGACGCTATGAAGTTTGTCTACACCTGCATTTTCGTATGCCTACACTTGATGCATCTTCACTTAAGGCAATTTAGGCATGTGACTACATGTGGATGCACTAATATGCATTAAGGCACACACAATTTAGGTGTGAATAGCTAAGTTGCATTAGCACACGTGCAGATGCGCATTAACATGGTGTCTGTCCATTGACGCACACCACGTTAATGCACATTAGCAGTTTGCTATGGATTAGCAGTAAGCTAATGCAATTTAGCTATTTGCATAAATTTGATATCTGCTTTATGCTCAGGTATCAAATTTATGCTCGAATAGTCTAAACTTGCCATTTTTAAGGGGCATTGAGAGCATGCACGTGTAGATGTGTGCCCTTAATGCACCTTAAATATGGATAATATGCATTAAATGCACATGTGTAGACACACCCTATATTTTGGAAAAATTAGTAGCATGGAAGGAATAGAGAAATAGAGCCAATGTTGCCAAGTGTGCAATTACTATAGAAAAGCCCCAATAAGTTACCACCCCCTTCTTCAGCTGACTTATTTGCTGTGGCCATTAGAATGGATGGTAATTAAGTAGCTGCCTTCTTCTATTTTACTGCAGTTTCTTTATGCTACTTACATTGCTCCTTCTGCCAGTATGGACATTGGACTACAGCAAAATAAGAAATATGAGATCTATCAGAAAATGGAACCACCTTTTGAGGATCTTTTTGACTCAGCAGAAGAATATGTCCTCACTCTTCTGCTGGAACCATGGATGAAGATGGTGGAAGTAGATAAATGCATTTATGAAGAGGTAATCTAAATAGTGCTAGACTGTGCATGTATGTGGGGCAGGGGGTGGCTTAAAGAGGGGAGCAAGATTATTGCAAAGCTGTTCCACCTATCCCTTGGTCAGTCCCAGTCCAGGGCCCGTCACATTTTCAGTTATTGGGTTTGAGGGATTACAAGGGATTCCTTGGTATGCCCCAGTAAGGGAAAGATGAGGTTATAATTCCCTCCTATATATATGCTCTCTTGATGTAGTGCACTGGAAAATCAGTAGGCATCCTTTTCTCTCTTCCAGCAGTAGATAAAGGTTTTCTTCTTGTGCGGGAAGCAGAGATTCCCTGTACCTTCATTGCTTGTTTCCCATTTGCTTGCCAACACAAAACAGCATTTGTTTAGCTCCTAGAAAATGAGATATTTCCAACAATAAAGATGAGCCTAAATCACCTGTTTGAGGTATGGCCAAAATATTTCTTTAAAAAAACCCCAAAACACTAAATCCACAATTTATTTTTTATTACTCATTCTCATCTCACTTCTGTTTTGAGGAAAACGAGGAGTAATGGTCACAGACTCCTGCAAAACTGTTTCAGGCTCAACATCAGGAAAAACTACTTCACAACTAGGGTGTCCAGACTGTGGAATAAGCTCCCTCCAGAGGTGGTGCAATCACCTACCTGGGAAATCCTCAAGAGGAGACTAGATAGTCACCTTGCTGGGATCACCTGACCCCAGTTGTCTTTCCTGCTTTGTGCAGGGAGCTGGACCCGATGATATTCTGTGGTCCCTTCCAGTCTTACAATCTGTGCATCTATGAATCTGTCTATGGTCTAATTTATTGTTTGTGCAAAATGGACTAATATGATTTTCCAAGTTGTCCCACTGTTTCTTGAAAAGCAAAGAAGCCAAAAAGGGTTCTGTAACCTTAGAATACACAGTGGTCCAAAAACATTCAGCTACTATGATGCTGAATACAGTATTCTTTATCTAGATAGAAGCCTGATGCATATTAACCTGGAAATTGTCCTTCCTCTTTTATATAAACTCTTGTATAATTAAATCCACAGTTGCAGAAGACTGTTTTCCATGGGTTATTACATTAATACAGTCTTTGGGCCCACTTGTAGTTAATATTGTAAACCAACATTTGAATTTTCAAGTTAGTATATAGATGAGGCAAACTGTTATTTATCTAACTGCTGATTTGCACATGCAAATGCAGGACTTTTTTGTTACTATGGAACATATGTATGATGCTCCAAATTATGTTAAAAATGCCAGTCAAGAAAGAGTCCTTGCCCTGAACAATTTACTATCTAAAAGGAATAGCTAGCACAAAACAGACCAAGGGAAGAGTCTGTTATGCGAAAGTTGTCATTTTACAACTTTCATCTTGACCGATTAGATTTTCTCTTGAGGTGTATATGTGCATATGTCTGATATGAGTGGCACGTTGTCCATGTGAGTATCATTTCCTGATAAAAGCTGCAGGTCTAAGAACTGGATTACTACTACTCATGGCAGGCATGCTGATGCATGTAATCCTTTGGCAGGTGTGGTCAGGTGATCTTGAAAAGTTCATGACAAGGTAATTTAATCTTTTCTGTTATGAAGTCTATGCCTTAAAGGTATAACTATGTCATACATGTTATTGCATAGAATGCCATTAAGATTCTGTACAGATCTGAAGTCAAATTTTATTTCACCACATCTTTTAATTGAATCGTCTGCCATAGGGATGCTACTTAACATGATATTTTATCTTCTAAACATGTGTCTCATTATTGGCAAATGTGTTTCTTTTCTACCCACTGTCACTGGCATGTTGCCTGTCCAGCGCTCCATCTTTCTATAATGTGTACTGTGGGGATGACATAAGATATTATTTTTATTAGGTGGAGCTGGTAGAAGAAACTCGACAGCTGGATTCAGTGTACTTTAGAAAGTTGCAGGCTTTGCATCAAGAGAGTGTTTCCAAAAAGGATGAGGTAAGAGGAGCACCTACTAGTAAAAACAAACTCATTTTCTATCAAAGAGGGTTAACGCTTTATGTATCAGGAATGAAAAGACTCTCTGCAACCGATGTGGGGGACATTCATTCATCCATTTTAAAGGCCATCATTTTTTTTTAAATAATGAGTCCAGTTCTGCTCTCATTTATAGCTGTAGCAGATCCAACCCCCACTTAAGTAATCTCTAGAACTTCTACTGAAGTTAGTTGGAAGTGTGTTGGGCCCTAAATCTTGAATAACCACCCCCTTATGCTGCTTCAGGCTTACACAGGTTTAGCTGATGATGGAATTTGGGCCAATATATTTGAAGTAAACAGAAAATAAAGATGATGATGTTCCTTAAGGTATGGACATACATTCTTTTGATATGCTACAAATCCCATTTTAGTATGAAACTTCTTATTTCAGAGTCATGCTTCAGTATCATGTAGATGTATAGGCCCTTCCCAGCTGAATTGCTTCAAAATGGCTCTAGGTCCATGCTGTAGTAAAGCTGTGCAGCTAGGAGGCTAGAGAGCAGAGATCCCAGCATGCCCAAGTCTTAGGAAACTCCTGTGGACTGCTAACTATAGAGGAGAGGGCCTATTGACTATTTCCTCCTCCTCCCTTCTCACCTTGTGCTAGGTGCTCTCTGCCACTTCAGGCCTGGTCAGTTTCCCCTTAGGAGTGCTCATCAGTTACAGGAACAGCACTATCAACCACCACGCCCCCCTCCCCCAGCCCCCGGGGAACCTAGCTGGAATGTTTACCATTGCCAAGACCCGGGAAAGATGTGTCCTTTAGATGTGCTACCTACTCATCACCACTGACAACAATGTGCATGAGGATGATGCTCCCCAGGATGCCATGGAGTATGGCCATCCTTTGGACCGCTTGCAAATAGCATACTAGATCTTCTGGGCCAGAGAGATAGGCAGTGGCTGGTGGAAATATAGAGTCCTGGGGATGTGTGATGAAGAACAGTAGTGGTAGAACTTTTGCTTGAGACATACTACCCTCATAAAAATGGTTTCATGGAGAAGCACTGTGCTAGTTCTCTCACAGAAGCAGCAAGCCATGCATGAGGGCACCCTTCATTAGGGAGCAGCTTGTGTCCATCAGTATCTGAAATATGGCTACTCTTGTCAGCCTCTATTATATAGCTAACCACTTCAGCATAGGCAGATTCACAGCAGGATCAGCTGTGGCAGGAGGCATGCTATGCCATTCAGAGGGTGCTGGCACTGGCATTCCTCTGCCTCATGAACTCGCAGGAGGTCATCCCCAGATTTTCCCTCATGGGCTTTCTGACCTGTGCCCAGCCTATTACAGCTCAGTTTATACAGACTACAAGGACTTCTTTTCTATGATGCTGCAAAGCATTATGGACCACCAGAGTCAGTTTACACACATGATCACTGCCTGGCTGGGCAAGGTCCACAATGCCAAAGTCTTTAGAAACTCCAGATGAGTGTTCCTGATGATGGGGGAGTTTTTCCACAAGACTACCAGCATCAAAGTGGAAGGAGTAACTATGCCTTCTGCTACTTGGGTACTCAAGATGCTCACTTTTTCCTGCCTTGTGGAGCCTTATGTGGGACATGTGGATGCCAGGAAGGAACTGTTCAACCACATGCCAAGCAGTTACTACGTGACCATTGAGTCCACCTTTGGCTACCTCATGGCCAAGTGGAGAGCAGTGGGAATGTGCTTGGGTAACATGGCTTGCTAGCACCCCTTCTCACAAACTCATGACATGTCCCTTCCACTGTCCATAAAGACATCCCTCAGCCAACACTGATCCCCCTGCAGTGGTTTGCCCTGGAGTAGGGGTCCACAACCCACAGCCCATGAAGAGCTATGAACTGGCCCATAAGGGTCCAATTCAGGGGGCAGGAGGGGTTCTGCTTTAAAGGAGCCACTTTAAAACTACCTGTTCTGTGCCCTCACTGCCAAATTTGCTGTTCTTTGTTGGTATTCACCATGGCTTCTAGCAGCACCTGGTATGCAGAGTGACGCACAGAGCAGAGAGGGAGTTGAAGCAACAGGGATCAGAAGCAGGGACAGGATTAGCAGCTGCCAGCAGGAGCTGGTTGCAAGTACCCAGCCCACCAGTCTAAAAGGCTGCTGTCCTCTGCCTTGAAATGATTCAAAACTGTATGCCCCCACCTGCCAGCTCCATGCACCCCAAAACCTTATCTCCCTGGGAGTGTATGTTGAGGGTCACCTGTGTCTTTATTCATAGACAGTACAGGACCTCTAGGCAGCCTTACAATGCCAGGCGTCATTTTGCAGGAGTGGGATGTAAAAAATGTGTTGGAATTCTGAAATTTACTGGGTGATCGGATGGCTGTCTGCTCTATCTGTGTCTTCACTCAGTGTTGTCCTGGGTGCTGGGAGGAAGAGGGCTGGCTTCTTGCAGGTGGCTGTTGAGGTCTGCTTATTGATAGTGGTGGGGGAACAGTGAGACGGAATGGGGAAGGGGCCCAGGAATGGAGAAGGGACAGTTGGTAAGAGGGTGGTGGGAATAGTCAAGTCTGCAGGTGAGGTATTGGTGGGATGTAATGTTGAAGAGCTAGTCTAGTGTGAGGTTGAAGGAGTCAGTGTCAGTGGCATCAGAGCTCTCATGTCCAGGTACTAGTATCCTCTTGATCAGTGCTCTCAAAGAGAAGGAGGGACTTCCCAATGTCCTCCTAACCTTCCTGTGCCTTCTCCTTGGCCATGGTGGGAGCAGGAACCAATGAGTCCTCCTTTTTTTTTCTGGTCAGAGCCTTCTGAGTCCTTGGTGGCCTGAGGGCTGACCCCAGAGTTGCCAACAAATCGGAGCTCTGTCAAGTCATCCCCTGCTAGAATCTGTGACAGTTCTTCATAGCGGGTTCAAGTCACTGTCTGAGTGCCCAAGAGGTGGTGGTGTCTCACGCCTTCTTATATTGCACTTTTATCACTTTGACCTTGGCATGGCAATGATGCCAAATGTGGTTGTGCCCTTGAGTAGTCATTTTAGAAGTGATACTCTCATAGATGGGCTAGTTGTGGTGGCCTGTCCAGAGTAAACATTGGGTGTTTTCAGTATCCCAAATGGAAAGGAGGTCTATTACCTTTGACCATCTCCGGCTAGTAGACTGCCTCGTGTACATGGCAGAACATAGTGGCACTGATGTTCTGGGTGCAGACTGCTGTTGATGGTCTTCAAAGGGGCCTCAAAATTGTTTCATTACGGGGGATTCTGAATCTTTAGGGTGGTAATCCAGCAAAAAGAGGATGCAGTATGCCTTTGTACCTAGCAATAGAATCACAGAAAAGAAGGGCTGGAAGAGACCTCTAGTGTTTATATGGTCCAGTCCTCTGACATGTCAGGCAAGTCCGGTGACCCCTGAGCAATGGAGCCCAGTGTGAATCACTTTAAATATGATTTCTTTCCGTACCGTAAATTATATGTGCACTTCATTTCCCTAGGGCTCAAGTAGTTAGAACAGATTCTTTCCCTCCATACAGTGGTATCATTTCTGTGTAATAGCAACATTCCTTCTATGCTGGGTCATGACACAGCATTGATTCCCAGTTACAGAAAAAATATAACTGCATGGAGGCAATCAGCAACAATGAAAAAGCAAGAAGAAGAAAATCAATAAAGATGGATTAAAGAAGTTATCTAATGAAAGAATATTAGACTGATCTAGATATAGGCACAAAAGCCTTAGTTGTGTAACTGAAGTAATTTCTTCCATGAGGGTGCTGTTCCTGAAGCCAGTCTTTTACCGGGTCCTGACATTCTCAAAGAAGCGCAGCTTTTGAGCCAAGTCCCTGATGAGCGCACGGGTTCTACCCTTCGTGACCTGCTCCACAATAAACTGAAGTTGGAACAGTTCCACCTCTTCCTTGAAGAACACTTTGCAATGTACGTTTTCAGTTTCTGTGCTCAAAATGTCTGCTGTCTTTTATGGGAGCTTTGTTTTATAAGTGCCACAGGATTGGAACCTATCTCTCTTTCTTTCTTTTTCTGCTTCACTGTTTCTTTTTGAATTATATAAGGAATGCACTAAAAACAGAACTTTGTTCAGACAACTGAATTATTGCTTTAGGTGTTATTCAGGACTCGGTATCCAGTGATAAAATAGTTTTGATCAAATTCTGCTTTCAGAAGTCCCAGGGCTTCTATTAAAGGCATCTACCTGAAGAGATAAATTGTCATACAGCGGATAAACATTTCTCCTGGTATTGCAGTTCAGAAGCTTTTATATTTTTAAAATTAAGACTCAAAATTATAAATACAGAATTTGGCCACATAATTATCAGAGGTGTGTATAAGCAATTGCAGTTTTTGTACATGCAGTTAACATAGTTAAGTGTGCAGTCACAGTAACTGTATGCACAACTTAACACACAGATTTTGAAAATCTTGGAAAGCCAAGATAAAAATAAATTTGCATAGGAGTTGCAACAGGAGTAAATGGTTTGTTTGAAATTAACATTTTCTTATCGTCTCCACATCTTTAATATTCCAGCAAATTCTGTATCACTGCTTTCAGTAGGTAATGTGTTTTCCTGCTTCAACCTTTCAATCCCATTTTATTCTCAACTGTTTTCTTTAAATTGCTTTCCTCTGTGATTAAGCTTTGGGTGCTACCTACTGCTTCTGGGTAAACAAAGATATAGTTGTAGACTCAGCATGGTACAAAATATTTTAAAGTGTCTAAGAGTCTTAGTAGAACTGGGCAGAGAAATGTACCGGTAATACAATTTTATGGAAGATTTTAATACTTCAAAATCAGGCTTTGTTCCAATTTGTAACTAAAACCAAAACTTTCACCATCCCCTATGGAAGAGAATGGAGCTACAGCTCTGGCCCTTGGAAGCCCCAGGGTCTACTGGGTGGGCTGCCCCAAAGCCTCATGATTCTAGGAGCCTTGATGTTCCAAGCTTGAAGGAAGACTGCAAGACAGGCTACCCAGCACCCATCACAAGCAAGCTTGCAAGAACCAACCAGGGTTCTATCAAAACCTCATCCAGATTGATCTATCTATGCTAAACATTTAGGTTTTAACTAACTGGCAAATTCCAATGAAGCATTATTTTGTTGGATTGTTTGCTGGTCACCCTAGGAATATAAGTATCAATAGGATTTAAATTCCTAAGAATTCAAAAGATTTTGAAATTGGAACTTTGCTCCCTAAGTCACTTAAGTGCTTTTCAAAATTTTCCCCTAGACTAACACCTTTGACAAAAATCAGCAAATATTTATTAGAACAAACAAATCAGCATTGCCTGGGGCTATCTTTTCATGTTTCATTTTCTGCAAATTTTCTAGTGAACAAATTAACTGTCAGGAATTTTCACACAAAACATCCAGTTTTAAGACCCTTAGAGATTAGTCTAAAAAATTGATTTTGGAAGCATGAGCTTTTATCATATTTATCTTTTCCAGTTAAGGAACAAAACTAATATCAAGTGATGTGTGTGCCAAATCAAAATTAACACATTAAAGATCTGAAATTTTTAATATAAAAGGAATTCAACTGATTGTGAAAAGTTTATATATCTAGAATTTTGTGTTGGAATGATTCATCAATTAATTAGAATAATAAAACTTGAGAAAATAGGACTATATGAAGCAAGGTCATAAACATCACCAGAAAAAATTCACCAAAATAATTTATTTGATTTGTAAAGACTTTCTTTAAAGGCTTTACTTTTTTTGGTCTGAATGTTAACAAGCACCATAAGTCATACTGATTGTATCTTCTTATTTATCAGGGAATTGAGACAAATTATAGCCAGGATCTGGTCATTTTATTCTGCTTCATTGAATTGTGATCAAACTGGTAATTCAATAGACTTCTAATGATAATTAGATTGACAGTGAATAACAAAGACTGTTATCTTTGATTTGTTCATAGTATGGATCTTTTGTGCTGGATAGATATTGAACAGTTCAGAAGGATGCTCCACAAGGAAAAAGGAAAGCGAGAGGAAAAATCTAAAGACATTAAAAATAAGTACTTAAATAAAAAATACTTCTTTGGACCCAATAGTCCAGCTACGAGAGAACAACAAGAGCAGGTATCAATATATAAAAATGTATATAAAGAGCAATTTTGCAGATAAATGTATTTACTCCTGTAGAAATTTGACAATTGATCATAACCTTGTGCTGAGAGATGCCTAGGTCAGTTAGCTGCCATTTGATGCATACCAAATCTATTTTTCTAGTAGCTTTTTCTTTGCATTTCCCTCTGTGTTACTGGTGTCCCTAACATCTACCTCAGTACTCTTCCAAACTTTGCCCATTTTTCCTTCAGTTCTCTGTTAAAAATCTTCCCAAACCTTCTGTTTTCTGTGCCAGCAATCTGGTTTCATTTCTCTGTTCATAATACATTTACATTATGTAGTCCAGAGCCTAGGCTGCAGCCCAGAGTGCACAGTGCAGCTAAAAAAGAGGAGTGCAAAACTGACTTCAAGCCAAAATGGTTTATTCCTATTCTCATCTTTAGTATGAAAGTAAATCCACCTGTAAGTGATACCATGTCTAAGCTGTGGTGATCTAAAGTAACTTAATACTTGTAACATTTACTCATTCCAAGATTGGGCATTATTGTACCAGAACCTGTACATGGACTGTACCTCCTGCATCATAGGTAGGACCAATGCAATCTGCCCCATGCAATGAATATCTGCATATGATCCTTGGTTGAGCATATGATTAAATGTTTTGATTAAAATTTAAGGTCATGCTTCAATGGTTTGCTGAGACAAGGCTCATGAGGAATAAATGTTTTGCCCATACGTAAGAATTTCTCTCATCTGGTATCGTATTTGAATTATTTAGCTAATGCAGTTAGGTGGAGGCTGGGGACAGATTCTTCATGATCAAGTTTCCTCATCGGTTCTCCTTGAAATTCAGAAATATGTCCAGATGAGGCTAGAAAAAAAATGGCTTCCATTGTTCCTGTCAAATGAACAAACTGGGACCTACAAAAAAACAAAGGTAATGTTTCAGTACTAAACAGTACATTCCAGTACTGTTTTCTTGCTGGGTCCATAATTTACTTGTGGGATAAGACAAGGGGCAGATGGGGTAGAAAATGACAATCATTTGTAGCTTACTTTCAGTTTAAATTGCATGGAAGTGAGGTACATATGCAAACAGGTTGCAGTGTGAAACTGTTGACTGTGAAAGCAGTTTAATGGCACAGTCTGACTGATGGCTTTGCTAGCCATGGAAAATGAAGATGATAATGGATGCTGTCTCTACAGTGTTCCAGACTGTATGGGGGGCAGTTTTGATATCTGTTGCAGTATTCTACCCTTACCACCACTCACCAGACTTGCACACAGCAAAAATCCTATTCTGTAGTATTTTGCAGAATTATTCAGACACACAAAAATGCAAGACTGCAAATGTGGAGACTGGATGGCTATAGCTTAGCTGACTGATCCCATTAACAAATTATTGTAAATTAATTTACACATAAGAGTTGGGAGTAAGGAAACCATTACTCCAGCTGGTCCATCAGAGCCGAAAAGCTGGCGGATAGACATAGCTTGTGTCTCACTTATTTTTTATGGTAGTATATCGAGGTTGGGATCTGTGGGAAAAAATCATATTGCTGGGAAGAACAGCAAAAAATCTTGTTTTTAGCACACCCAAAAAATTGAAACCAGATTTTTTACTGATGCAGAAAAAACTGCCATGTCTAACTAGGCAGAGATAGTTATGGACACTTATTTGATTTAATTCTCTTTTCAACAAAGAGAGGATTCAGAGAGCCATCAAAATCATAGGTAGATTGGATTCTCTGTTAGTACACACATGTATATTTCACTTAATATCTATGGTTTTGGTTAGCATTTGGTTGAAGGTTCATCCCAAGCTTAGCCAACAACACACAAGGGGAGTAATGAAGCTACTGTCATATCTAGCAGCCTTCAACTGATTGGGTACCCATTTACAGATGGGAAAGGAGTGAAACTAACTCACAACTCTGTATCCATAACAAAATGCCTTAACTAATTGGCCTCCAACCTTCACCTATTATGGTACTATACATAGGAATTTAATAGAAGGCATATAAATGTATTGATCATCTTATCACCCACAGATAAGGGACATAGCTGAAGATCTCCTAATCCAGAGAAATGAGAAGAGGAATGGGGCCTGGAAGGCAAGTAACGTCTATTATTTTCCTCTTCCCTCAATTTCCTTAGCCTTTCCTTTTCAGACCTTCAGGATTTTTCATTAGTCCACAGTTTTACAAACAAGCCCCAAACTCAAGACTGTCAAAAGTTGTTGCAAATGCATTGACTTCAGGGGAGTTGTGCTCACTTAGACTAGTGGCAAATTTAGCCCCAGCTGGATGAGACTCTCCATGTCTGAAGAGGTCCATCTTATACAGTGCATATATCTCACCAATGACTGTGCAGTGCCCATAGCCTCTCTAAGGCTTAGAACTAGTTTCATACCTTCAGTGCATATGTATCTGGATTTCATGCTGTGGACTTATTGGGACAAGCTGTTCATTCGAGCATCTGGTAGTTTGTTTATTGTTGCAAGTGGATTACATGCAGACACAAAAGAGAATGTGAAGTATGCAGAAGAGTGGGCAGGTTTAATACTATCTCACAGTATCTGTTTCATTTAGTATTGTATTTTATTTGTACAGCACCAAGATAATATCAGTTTTAGAAATCTTAAACCTCTGTAGTATGACAGTTTAGGAGATGTTTGCCAGTATTTTTCCCCGTAAAGAGCAAAGAACTCTTTGTGGTTGCCAACATACAAGTTGTATACATTTATTCAGTCTAACTTTTATTGTCTGTTGAAAACAATTGGAGACCAGGTCACCAATCACTCATGCAAACCACTGGGTAGAGGATCCCTAGTGCCATGTGGATTCCGTTTATTGAATTTTCACCTGGTATCTCTGTTTAGGATAGCAGCTTTTTACAGCTTGTCACTTATGGTGGTTGTTTCACTGTGTGTCATAAGCAGGGTTTAAGTAGATCAGGACTGGTATAGGAGCAGCACCTTGCCCATTGCATAGTGGAGCAGGCCTGACTAATAACATTTTGCTCTCATGTTCTAACATGCAGTCAGCTCCTGGTCATAGTGACTCTATGGACTATGAATGGAACAATCTTGGGGCTTTTGAGGAGGATCAGGAAGACAGTTCTTTTGGAACTGTCCTAATTGAACTTATTTCATTTTAAGGTGATGAGATTGTTGGGCTGTCACCATATTCTTTTACTGCAAGAAAAGTGAAGCCCTGCTGCCTGGGCTGTGAACTAGTTCCTGGACTGATTAGTCCCAACTTGATCTAGTCATGGATAGTGGCCAGAAGTCAAATGAGATAGTTACATCCTTCTGGCCAGCTAAAGATGAGAACAAGCCAGCATGCCTATTGCTGCCCCTGGATATTTTAGCAGCAGCTGCGGGATTAACCAGAGACTCAAACAGTGAATCCAGCAAAAGGCGCCTGTCCTCATGTTGAAGGACTGATTTTTCTGCCATATTTTCCAGTTCATTCCTGCAGCCAACATCTTGTGGCCAGCATTTGCAGAAGCTTAAATTCAGTCATTACAATGGTCCCTTCTGGCCTTCAAATCTATGACTCCCCTCAATCTTACTTGGATTAAGGCTCAGCCAGCTTGCTCTGACCTCCCAAACACGATGTAATACATGTAACAGCTTTGGCTAAATGAGAAAGGATGGAAAAACATAGCTATGTATCATAAGACCACGCAAAGTTATACAGACCCTGGTTTCCTCCTAACCCTCCTAGCAACCTCATTAAATACATTCAGCTAGAGGGGTGACAAGCTAGAATCTTGCAAAATTTCAGGAATGAGAAGCAGCCGCCCAACCCCACCTCTAAGAATGCTGAGCTGTGTAAGAATGGAGACAGACAAGAGCAGCCCTTTCCACCCCAGTCGTGCTTTACCATTGTATAAACAAAACCTCACAATTCGTGGTGTCAAAAGAATGGAAACTGCTTCTGATCTTGATCCATTTTAAGTTACTTTCCAAGGGTGTTTCTTTCAGTTATTTAATGATAGAATCAGGCGCAGCTTGTAATATTAATATCAGCCGTAGAAAGACAGGGAAACTTAGCTAGGGAACTAGATGGAGGCCAGAGTGTGTCTACTTGGTATCAGAAAAATATGCAAGAATCCTTCAATCTCTGCAAGAACAACACATTCCTCTGCCTCCGGGTAACTACTGGACTATACTCCACCCCGCCACACACACACATCCACCCCTTCTTGATTCAGGTGAATTTCATACCAGTATTATAGGCTAATTTGCAATCATTGATCTGATAAGAATGGGGAATTGTTTGACGTAAGTTCAGTGACTACTGGTAATAATAAAGCATAAGACGTACTGTTTGTTCAGTAAAAAAGGATGGAGGACTGATTTCCATTCCTTACTTCATTTCCAGCAAACTTCTGCCTGAATTATCCTTCTCTCCTCTCACTTTTCTGCCTGATTATTACTTTCTGTCCATTTTGTTGCCTGAAGATACCCAAAATATTGTGAGGACTTTAAATCATATTTTACTATCGGTAGACTTTCTTCCAGAGAGAGCAAACTCTCCAGCTTCCGTTGGTAATCACGACAACACATTTCAAAGCTGCTTTTGTTAGCGAGGTCCCTGTCAGAAGCACTTTAGAATTTTTAGCTGTGTGGTTTGTCTGTTCCTTTTTCTGTGTTGTTTGTTTGTAAAAAACAAAAAAGAACTCAAACTGTTCCCTAAAAAGTAACAATGGCTGTTTCCATACTTCATAGTATGTAGTCATATGTTCTAAATCATTGTCAGTCATTTCCTCTCCCATCACATCTTCCAAAAAATGTTGCCCAAACCAAACCAAAGGGGAAAAAAGAAAGAAAGAAAGTAAAGAAAGATTGCCAAGTTCTATTGTATCCATGTCATAAACTACTGAAAGTTAGGGTCAGTGCAAAGATAAGTATCAGACAGTTTACCCTAACTAATGCCTTTGTTATTGCTTTTTGAAACAGAGTTTATTCGGTGCATTTATTTTTTCTTTTGACAGCATGTGGACAATAAGTGGGTTTCTTCATCTCGGGAAATAATTACTTTTCGTAAAGCGCTGTTGAATCCAGTAACAGCATTTCAGTTTCAGCGCTTTGTGTCTTTGAAAGGAGACTTACTGGGGAATGGAGTGCTCTTCTGGCAAGAGGTTCAGAAATACAAGGTAAAATGGAAGTAGTTTTAAGTGCATGTATCCATTAATGTGTTTTTAGAGACTTTCAACTAGAATACCTTTAATCAGTTTACTATCAACATCAGTGCAGCTTGCTTCACTACTTTATTGTTTTCTTCCATGCAGAGCCTCCATTCTTTTAGATGAATCTTTTAAACTAATTGAGCATTTTGTACTCATATTCCTTTATGCTTATACATATTATAGAATCATAATACAAATTTAAAGAGATCCAGTCTATGTCCAAAATGTTGTTGCTTAGCATTGATGTACACTGTGCTGTACAAATGCAGTGAGAGCACTGAAGTACTCATCCAGGTTTGGGGGCATTACAGTTCTAACAGTAGTCCACATTTAAAGTAGAGAGAATATCACTGAATGAGTCATACCTCTGAAATCGGGTGTATACAAATAGCCCAAAGAGCTTACACTTAAAAGACAGACACCTGGTGTAATGCTTATTCACTGCTGCTGAGGATCTGGCCTAGCTGCACTAAAGTTGGAAGAACCAAAGGATAGGTCAACCTAGACTGTTTCTCTCATAAATACTTGCCCCTTGTGAAATTGTGACAGCCTGACAGAAAATGCAAACAGGAAAAAACTGAGAGCCAGATTGTGCCTTTAGATCACATTGCTGCCAAATACTGCTGTGGGGAGCATTGCTGAATCCAAGGCCCAATGACTCCTGTACTTGTTCTGCATTTCTCCCTTCAGTTTAAAGCTACATAAGGGTCAGATGGTCCTGGCAGGGAATAAGAAGTTCATGATGAGGTCAGGAGAGCACTGTGACTGTGACTATGACTATGCTAGGCTCCTGCTCTCAGAATGCTGGGAATTGCTGCAATCAGGCAATATAGTCAAATATGATGATGATTTAGCGTTTGTACCATGCTGGACTAGTACTAGTTTTGCTCAGTGTCTTCGTCAATGACCTGGAAGACGGCATAGAGTGCATCCTCAGCAAGTTTGCAGACGACACCAAGCTGTGGAGAGTAGTAGATATGCTAGAGGGTAGGACTAGGATTCAGAGTGACCTAGAGAAATTGGAGAATTGGGCCAAAAGGAATCTCATAAGGTTCAACAAGGAGAAGCGCAAAGTCCTGGATGTAGAATGGAACAATCCCATGCACCAGTACAGGCTGGGGGCTGACTGACTGGGCAGCAGCTCTGCAGAAAAGGACCTGGGGCAATCAGCTGAATATGAGCCAGCAGTGTGCCCTTGTTGCCAAGAAGGCGAGCAGCATACTGGGCTGCATTGGTAGGTGTGTTGCCAGTAGGTAAAGGGAAGTGATTATTCCCTTCTATTCAGCATTGGTCAAGCCACATCTGGAGTTTTGTGTTCAGGTTTGGGCTCCCACTACAGAAAGGATGTGGACAAATAGAAGAGAGTTCAGTGGACAGTGACAAAAATGGTGAGGAGCCTGGGGGACATGACTTCTGAGGAAAGACTGAGGGAACTGGGCTTATTTAGTCTAGAGAAGAGGAGACTGAGAGGGGACTTAATAGCAGCCTTCAACTACATGAAGGGGGGTTCCAAAGAGGATGGAGCTAGACTGTTCTCAGTGGTGGCAGATGACAGAACAAGGAGCAACAGTCTCAAGTTGCAGCAAGGGGAAATTCAGGTTTGATATTAGGAAGAATTTTCTTACTGGGAGGGCAGTAAAACACTGGAGCAGGTAAACCAGAGAGCTTGTGGAAGTTGCATCCCTGGAGGTTTTCAGAACCCGGCTAGACAAAGCTTTGGCTGGGATGATCTAATTGGGGCTGGTCCTGCTTTGAGCAGGGGGTTGGACTAAATGACCTCCTGAGGTCCCTTTCAACCCTAACTTTCTATGATTCTATGGAGAGCCCCGTCAGGACTAGGCCTGGTTGTGCTAGACAGTTTGTGAACATATATTAAAGACAGTCCCAGTCAGGGGGAAAAAGGGCCAAGAATATGTTTGTTCTGGTAAGCTGTGACCTCAGTTTTCAATTTTCAAGCATTTCTTAAAGTAAATGACAGTCATACATTAATGAGGTACTCATCAAAACAGTAACTACTTGCTTTGCCATCGTTAATTCATTGAGCAAATGACCATCAGAACCACAGGAAATCAGAGCTAGCTCATTATGTTTGAAATTGCCAGAACAGGCTTCTTTAAGGCAAGTCAGTTCAGAAAGCATAAAAGAAACCAAGACTCTTTAGCTAAAGCTATGAGATGGGGATTCATTTTTTACTTCAAAACTGAGACTAGCTGGGGGGCTAATACCTACACACAAAATGTCTGAGACACATTCAGATTAGTGGTTCTTCATGATGGTACTGTGGAGAAAAGTGGTTTGCCGGTTCAGGCATTTTCTTTGTGGAACTCTTCTAGGAAGAAAGCTATTATTGTTTGACCCTCCATTTATGTTAATTTTATTTGTTTTCCTATCAAACAAAGAAAAGTACAGTCTGACCACAATCATACACCCATGGTATTTTGGCAGGGCTGGCAGTCACTGCTCTTTATAAGATTCAAAAGACTGAACTAGCAGGAGTGTGGCAGGTCAGGCTGTACTGGAGGAATACTGCCAAAACTGTGGGTAGAGTTTTGAATTGTGCCTGCCTCTATTGTCTGAATCATACCGTGCCATTAATGTTCAAGCAGAACTCCCTCTGGGTGCTGAGGCCTGCATTGTTCTTTACAGCCTGTCAGATTGGCGGCATGTCTCTGGGCAACTGAAAAAGAAAAAAGAAATGATTCCTAAAATAAGTATGAAAAAAATGTAACACTCTGTGGGATTGTGTCTGTCTGCTCCCCTTTGTCCTGCTCTCATCTTTCCTTTATATCTTATATGACTTATTTTTCTTTTCTCTTTGCTTTCATTCTTTGAAATGTATTACATCTGAAATTAGTAGGCAAAGCATAAAATAATATTATTGCTGAATACAACACTTGTGGTGTTCATCTCAGAGCTGTCTCCTATTTGTCAATTACCTGCTCAGATTGAATCAGGGATATCAAATACACGGTTTCATCAGAATCGTATAAACAGGAACTATTATCTCCACTCCATAACTGTGTGCGCAACCTAGTAACCCCACTGGCTTTTTTGGTGTCATGATAATATGTATTTGCTGTTAATGCAAGAACTCAGTACCTTAACTTAATTAGTTGTGTGGAGCTGATGTTCTCTGGATTTCTTTGTCCTTGTTAAGAACTGGGGGAAAGGGAGGTAGATAGCTTCTAATATGTAGTGCCATATTCACTGCATACTGCATTTTCCCCCATTTAGGACATGTGCCATTCTCACTGTGGTGATGTTACCATCCAGAATAAGATCACAGCTATCATCAACTGCTTTATTAATTCTTCCATCCCTCCAGCTCTACAAATTGACATTCCAGTTGAGCAAGCTCAAAAGATTATAGAGCACAGGAGAGAACTTGGGCCTTATGTGTTCAGAGAGGCACAGGTAAGAGGTCAGGGATAAATCAGTAACAGATTAGACTAGAGGCATTGTGCCTGATTTGTAGAGGTAGGTTTTGCCTTTTGAGGTCACAGTTTTCTGCCCATAAATAAGTGTGGATATCAAGTTGTTCTTAGGGGTGTATTAGCAGGTTATAAGGTATCTTGCTACAGATCCAGAGGTGTGAGTGACCCAACTGCAAAGGGTGTCTGATCTCTCAGGCTGGGCAGTCAAAGGTGGTTGGTGCCCTCCACATTGCTCCCTTGTGTGATGTTGGCTATTGAAACTGGTATGCCTTAACCAGGGCCCTTTATGCCCAGAAGGATCTTTGCCTTCATTGTAACTAACTGTTTTATTGAGATTAAGGGTAAATGTAAAGAAGAGACTTCACAATATTAATCACTCAGTAGATTGGGTAAATGCTGTTATACCCTGGAATGGGGCACTCCTTTAGACATGCTACTTTTGTTTCTTGGATTGCTTGATTTCCACCTCTTGATTAACAAAAGGAATCATTTTTGGTGGTCTGATGATCCACACTTCTAAATCTAAAAAATATCAGATGTCAAGAAAGCACAACAGGCATCTTAACTTTCTGACTCTCTGGCCCTTTTTTGTTCCAGGAGATTTAAGGAGCTGGCTTGGGAGGAGTGTTCGCTCAGCTAATTCTGTTCCACTGACCAAACAGGGTTATTTGTAAATTCATACTATTAACCTTGTATGGTTATTACCTTTTATGCTTTTATTTCTAAAAAAAATGTAGCCGATTCCTCCCCTTTTCGCTAAACTGATGCCAGCCCCTTTTCAAATCTACAAGCATACTTAGTTCCATTAAAGTCACAAGAGGCAAATGATTTGTAAGACAAGAGGATTTATATAGATCGTCAGATAAATGAGAAGGCTAATTTAAGACTAAGCCCCACTAGTGTTAAATGTACCAAACTCTAGAAGTACAGAGTGGAACTAATAGAAACATTTTGGAAAACAACAGGATGGACACTAGTAAGCATTTTGGGCCTAAATCTCTGAGGCCAACTATTTTTTAAATCAGAGAAAAGCATAGGATCCTCAGCAGGTTAAAAATCTGAGCCTAGTGTATTAAAGGTATTTGGGTGCTGAACTCCCATTGATTCTGATGGTAGTTCAGTGCTTAAATTTTTTGAAATATATGAGCCTTGATATGTGAGGCAGTAGAATGCACTGAATCTCTCTTTTTTTTTATTGTTTTCCTTATTCCAGTTCAACAAAGACCCTGTGAGAGATTATATCATTTAAAAATTATCCAAGATTTGCTCATGGATCTGTAATGTGGTTTAAGAGCTTTTCCAGAGGCAAAAAAGTCTTTCCTTTCTCTTAAAGAGGGAGAGAAAAAAAGTCCTCTCCCTGATGAACAGAATATTTTAAATAGTTGAGCAGAATAGTGGTGTAAAAAGTAATTCAACTGATGCATATTTTAGTAAGAATACTTGTAAAAAAAAGTGATGGATGTTTTCATTAATGCACATGATTGTTTAGGGAAATATAGAAAAAGAAAGTGCCTTTTAACTGTGTTTTAGGAAGATTTCTCACCAGTAATAAACATGCTGATGAAAAGCATGTGCAAGGCAAAGCTGGACTGAATTGTCAGGAGACCGTACGTGGGAGGAAACATGCTGTGTATTTAAAAAAAGAAATAGTTATTTCATTTTTATGGTAAACTACATTTTTTTACAGTAAACTCTGTTTTCTTAACATCGGCAAGTTCAACTTCCTTTTCTTTCTGCTCAGATGACTATTTTTGCTCTTCTGTTTAAATTTTGGCCAAAATTCTGTGAGTTTCGAAGCAGTTTGGCTGATGAAAAAATTTTGCCTGTGTTGGAGAGGAAAAAGGAAAAGAAAGTGGAAAAAGGGAAAAGAAAATCAGCAGAAGAACAACTCACCAAGACTCAGGTGAGAGGCTGAAAGACCAAAAACACACTTTCTGGTGAATAAACATTAACAATACAAATATCCCCTCTATGGGCTTGACCCAAAATCCACTGAAGTCAATGGAAAGACTCTAATCTTTATTTTAAAATACAGATTTTAAATACTATGCAGTACTGGGGCGTAATTCCCCAATACGGAATATGTTTATACACAGGCTTAATTTTAAGAAGGGAAGTCAATAGGAATACTGTTCTTAAAGAGAAGCACATTATATCTGTGTTTGCACAGCTGGGGACTCCCTCCTCCCTCTCATTTTTAATAGAGAGGAAAGTACATTTTTATTTACCTTGGGGGGGCTCAAAAATGTAAAAAAAAAAAAAAAAAGCTGGGGGGAATATTTTCAAATCGTTCTCTCTATATATTGTGTGTGTAAATCTGATAAGTGTTTACCTGCATGCACACAGGATTTTTAAGCAGGGTTTGCTTAGCTGGTATCTATAAGGCTATCAATTACATTTTAAAAAATCCATTTTCTTAGATGTGTTACAAAAAGCACCTTGTAGAATTTAAACAACACATTTTAAAATTCTGTGTTGCTTACTCTTCTTCTGGATATTTTATTATATGTCCCTCAGCTTTGGTAGTGGGATCTTAGGCTACTCACTTACACTTTTGTTTAGAGGGAGTTTCCAATCAATACCAGGTTTTAGGGGCTCATGCATTGGCAGAAAGGGTCTGTGTTTCAGATGTACCTCTCCAATGGCAGTGTTAGTTTGTAAAGCTGTTTCTCCTGGAGATTCTCTTGTTTTTAAAATGCCAGAAAGAATTGTGCTGGTCATAGCTTGGACTAAAAGTTCTTTTTTCAAAACCTAAATGTTAGGATGAGTTTGAGAGTGCCTTTTTAAGGGCAAAGGAACAACTGCATTGTAATCAGTTGATTAAAATTTATATAGTAGTTTACATCCTCAAAGTACCATATAAATATGCTGTTCAGATACTGATATATGGTGTTCGTGAGTACATGGATGGGCAGAGGCCTAAACTAATCTTCACAGCACTCTGTGAGAACATGCATCTGCCAGTACTCCTATTTTAGAGACAGGGGAAACTGAGACATGGGGAGATACTGTGACTAACACAAGCGACACAATAATCAGTGTCAAAACCCAGAACTCATGCTCTTTTCTCCAGAGCACGTTGCTTCCACAAACAAATGCCTGGGTGGACATTGCCATAGTCATGAGGAAAGGATTCAGTGACAATTACTGCATGTTTTTGCTTTCACCTCAGTTAAAACAGACACTTCCTTTCCTTTGGAGATTGCCTGATATGCAGGTCCTTCAGCTGTTGGGCTGAGGTAGCAGTTGTATGTGGAATGACTTAGGCTTGGGGAAATATGCTTTATACCCTCTCTTTGCCTATGTGCCTCTGGCCTAGTCCGGCTACTGGGATTGAGCTTTGAGCTATGGATTTGTTCTTCTTTAAGGTATTAGACTGCATGTGACACATGCTGGTTGCATCAGTTCCTTTCTGTAAATTGTTCTTATGCCAGTATTTTTAGTGAGTTAAATATACAGTTGCACTTTGCTTCACTTCCAAAGTAATTCTGAAATTTTATCCTGAGAGTTATCCAAAGCCTGAATGAGTTTTTGTTAACGTTTGTTTTAAATCTGCACTTGTTCTTCCTTTGCCCTCCCGTCAGAATAAGGAGACTCCCAGGTGCCTGGATTTGACTTTTCTTTGGCACAAATGGATGTTACCAAACAATTTAGACTAAATCCTGCAAAGTGCTGAGTATCTTCTGTCAATAAGAATGGAGGGTATTTGGCACCTTATAGGATCAGGATCTTTCTATCTGAAACCACAGGACTCTGATTTTTTTTTTTAAATGATGTGATTCTTTGGAGGATAAGAAAATTATTTTGCATTCATTCTGGGTTCAAAATTTGGCAGTTTATAGTATGCTATTACAATTGTGGGAGAAAAACAAATTGTTAGGAAAATTCCAGGAAATCTAGAAAACAGGAAATCCAATACTTGATGCAGGGAAGTTCTGTTATATGGAAATAATTGCTGATGTGTGATTGATTTCTTATTCAAGAGAAATTTACATATATTGGCAAATGGCACTTTTTTATTGGTACGCTGTATCCTCACTCTTGAGTTATAGTGGTATGGTGCAGATTTTGAAAATGAGTCTTGAATTTCATTCCACACTTCCAAAAATTGGTAAGCCCTTGAGAGATTTGTGCCATTTCACAAGTGACTCTCCTGACTAAGTAATGTCTATTTTTGATAAATACCTACTTCATTTGGGAGACTCTTGACTTTTCTCGGAGTCGTTGTCTCTCCTTGATCAAGCTTCTTTAGCAACTTAGAGATTTTCTCGCATCAAAGGCAAGGTATAAAAGACCCGTTTTTCCTGTTTCCTCCACTGGAATCAACCTCACCAGGTTTTGTTTTTGTTGATGGTGATGTCATGGTATGAAAAATGTTATGATGTCATGACCTCACCTGGCATACTATGAGAAAAAATCATTCACAATCTCACATATATCTCCACATTCCCTGCATATATATAAAAATTGTCTTCAGAATTTTTGTCTCAGTCCAAGTAACTGGGAATTCTACAGGAGTTAGAAGCCTTGCTTCAGATGGAAGATGAAATGCCTGCTGGAGGAGCAGGTCAGCACTCATCTGGACAGTATTTCATGACTACTAATCTGTAGGATACTGAGGGAGATACAGAGAAAGGACAGTGTGGTGGAACAAGTAACTGAGAGATCATGGTTCTTTTGCCAGCTCTTCCATAGACTCCCCTTAGGACCTTGGGAAGCCTTTTAACCTTTTTTTTCTTCTCAGTTATCCCTTCTGCAGAATGGGTGACCCCTACTTGCGTCAGAGGGATGTAGTGAGGTTAATTAATCTGTTTATAAAGGTCTTTCAGATATCCCTTTGAAGCATTTTAAAAACAGTATTAGGAGTGCGGGTAGTTAACCACTGGAACAACTTAACAAGGGGTTCGACTGGTTTCTCCTTCACTGAAAATCTTTAAATCAAGAGTGGATGTTTTTTCTCAAAGAGATACTCTAAGTCACAGGAAATAATGCAAGAATGTCCCATGGCCTGTGTTAGCCAAAAGATTAAAAGATATGCTCTAGCTCAACCACAGCCCTTGGATCTTGAGGCACAAATTAATTCAAGGAAGCCCTATAGCCTGAGTTAAGCAGGGGGTCAGAGTGTAAGATCACAGTGATCCTGCCTGGTCTTAAAATAGACAGACGTGTGCACCATTGCGAGCACATCCTACCGTCCAACAAGTCTTATGATACCTCTTGTGAAGCAAGAAATGATCAACTGGGAATTGGAAATCTTTGTTCAAAATATGCTTGTAATGTACAAAGATATTGTCTTTGGCATTGTTACATCTCAATTGTCATCCCAGCTCAGCTGCCACTATGTGTATCTAATCAAAGACTTTTTTCTATTGACAACAGCAAGGGGAAAAGGTTGTCAGTATAGCAAGCAGTGTTTCTGGAGAAGAATGGGGTGTGGGCAGAAGAACACCTTCATCTGCATCTACATCAGCATCTGCACGGCAGGTGAGTAACAGTATAGCTTGCTCTGGATATCTTTACCTCAACCTGCATCGAGAGCTGAAACAGGTGCTAAAGAAAAAGGAAGGGGGAAGACTGGCTTTAAAATCAGCTTTTGCAGTCTTCTTAAAAATCTTTAACTCCTACCCATTAATTTTGCAGATCAGTAACCTGCCCTGCTCCTTCTGATGTTTCTCAGTTTTAGATTCTGAGGAACATTTCAGACCTTTCAAGCTGAGAAGTGAGAATAGCATAGGTTTAAACTAAAAGTAAGCCAAAGGCAATGAGGTCCAGATCCATATTAGACATTATCCATACCCTGACACTATTGATGTCTTTTGGGGAATTTTAGTTTTGCCACAACTCTCATGGGAATTGATTTTAAGGTTGAAAAACTTGGAAATGGGCACTATTTATGAGATCTTGGTACTCGGATGTAGAATTGCCTGCTGCTTCATTGAGAACAGTCTTCATGATGTATCAAAGTGTGGCATATAATGAAAGGGAAATGGTAATTTTTGTTGGACAGAATGGGCACAGCAGCTTATGAATACTAAATGATGATTTGTGGTGTAAAGCTTGTGGATGTTGAGACTGCAGAAGGACCAGCCTCAGCTACCCCAAATTTCACCATAGTTTGGATAAGTGAATTGTCCTGCTTATGGTCCTCTACCTCAAACAAGTCTTCTACCTTTGTTCAAACCTGTCTCCAGAAAACAGTGAACTGGCTGGTTCCCAGGACATAATGCTGCATGACCAGGCCCTGATATCCTTGGGCCTCACAAATTTTGGGAAACTGGTAAAATCTACTGAAAAAGCTTCTGTCTTCAAACCGCGTTCTGTTGTAGTAAGATACTAATAGTTCTTTAAACTGAGCCACCAAATATAAAATTGGGCTGGATCCTATTCCATTTATTAGGCTTCTAAGTGGATTTAGGCACCTAAGTGTGATTCTCTTCTACCCTGCTCAAGACCCTGGAAAATATTTAATGCCAAAGTTGGGAGGGTATTCCTTTTTTCTTGCTGCCTTTTTTGTTACTCAGGTTTAAAGGTCAGGTGATTGTAGGTTACAAAAGTAGATACATTAATGGATTTTTATTAACTTGAACAGGGTGGACTAGAATTGTATCTAGGCACCTAAGTCTACTTAGATGCCTAATAAGTGGAATAGAATCAGGCTCTTAAAGTTTTAGGGAAAAGGGCTGATATAGAGAAGTCTTGGTTTAGCCTATACTTTGTGTTATAGTCCTTATAATAGTTTGGGTGAGTGATCTAGAATTTACACTGAAGTAGGTAAATTAAAATTAAAAGACCAACATTTGTTCTTTTAGAGGACAGAAGGTGCCATGTCTTAGACAAATCATCTTACCTTAGATAGCAGAATACTGCTAGGAAAGGCAGAAAGAACTGGGAGGTTTGGTAGGCCTGTTGGGATTTGGGAGTGGGGAGGGTAGGCCATCAAGGAGAGTAGTAAGGTAAGGGGCTCAGGAGAACAAAAGAATGAATCTTGAAAGAGCAAGAGGATACAGCCATTTGAAGATGTGGACAGGAAGGGGGCAGAAAAGGCAAACGGGGGACCCGAATAATTAGCTTAAGCATCCAGCCTGTCAGACTTCCCTGAACTGCACCTCATGATATTTTGGGATTTACTCATTGCTAGGCATGTTTTCTTTATTTCTTTCAGTTTCACCATTGTGAAGACAAAACTCTTCTTTCCGGTCCCTCTTTCAGCTGCAAGAACACTAGCATTGTAGTAACATAAACAAGCCCTTTCTCTGTTGAAACAGACCATCAACTACCAGTTACATGGTGAAGAGACTGATTTTTTAAAATGGTTCTTGCAGGTTTCCTGGTCTTATTCCAAGTACATAGAAGCCCTCGAGCAGGAGCGAGTACTCCTTAAAATGCAAGAAGATCTGGAGAGAAAGACATCATCATTTTTGACAGGTTATTAATCAAATACTGTGGTTTAGGAGAACAGTTTGGTCCAACTATTTATAGACTTCAAGGTGAAATTTGCTTAGCATGAGACCCTTATTTTTTGCTTGCTCTGTTTTGGGACTATTTGGGTGGGCCTTTGCCTCCAATACTCCTACTGTGTATTGTTGAGTGGCTCTTTCTACCCACCGCACATGGCTCAGTGTCATCACTGAGGTCACAGGGAAATGACCATGGGATCTGCATTTGTACAAGTAGGACACATGCTACTTCAGCCTGTACATTGAGACAGCAATCATGGGACCAGTGTACTGCAGCCCTATGTTCCAGCCCCTGGGCTAGAAGGTGCATTTTTCCTCCTCATTTCCTTGCATTTGAGCCAACTGAGCTTTATGCAGGCAAAAAAACCCAACATTTTATAATTCTACTGACATTCTGTCACTGAATGTACTGGCATTTGCTGCAGTTTTTGTCAGTAAGGAATTGAATATCCTCATACTTCCCCAAAGAATTTATACTCAAACAGTTGTCTCCTATTCATTCCTTAAAGTGGGAAACCTGGCATTGTTCCATAACACTTTCCCAAGTGAAAGCAGTTTCCCTTAATTTAATTTTGCCTCCCTTTTGTAGCTGCCTCATCTATGTCATTTATGAAGCCAAACCGCCAAGCAAGCTCAGAAAAATCTTCCATTTCGCCATCCTCTAGTTTGATTTTGGAGAAACAGTCAAATATTTCCAAAGACACAGAAAGTGAGTCTGACACTTTGCATCAGCTTGACATTTGTGTTGAATGATGTCCTCACCTTCAGCTGCCTGGTGGTGATCTCCGACATGCAGGCACTCTAGACCCACTCTATTTTAACTAGTTTAGGGTAGCAGTTCTCAGCCATTCAAGGCACCCCTCACTTTTTAAAATTTCATGGAACTGCATTTAAAAAAATGAATGGAAATGTTATGAATATTGGAATATAAACATACCTATCTTGTTGATTGTTAATTAGTTATTACTTAATTAGATCCTTATAATTATATTATACTTACCCCACTGCCACCACCAGTTAAGCCAGGTGGATCTCTACTGTACACCTCCTGCAGAACCTGATTGAGAAGTGGCTGTGGCAGGAGCATGCACTTTTGCCACAGCCCTTCCCAGTCTGACCCTGCTTGGTGTCTCCCAGAAACAGAGGCAGACAGGGCAAATGGAATTGTCCCACATACCTTTGTTTTCAGGAAATACACCAAAGCCAGACTTGGAAATGGCTGCAGCAGAAAGGCACTCTGCCTGCATTACATTATGCAGGGCAGTTGTACCTGGTGGCAGTGGCATCAGTTTCCAGGCTGCCACCACTGTGGACTCAAATTGCCCCACAAGCTTTCGTTTTCAGGAGGCGAGTGGAGCCCAACTGAGAAGGAATTGTAGCAGAGGTGGCAAACCTGACTTCATTATGTAGTACAGGCAGGCATGCCCCTTCTACTTTAGCTTATTCTTGCTTTTCAGCATGAGCTGAACCCAGAAGAGCTGAAGCAGAAGCAGTGTGCCTGCCTGTACAATGTAATGCAGTCAGATGTGCTGCCTCAGCTGCAGCTCCCTCTCAGCTGGGCTCCACATCCCCCTGAAACGAATGTGTATGGGTAAATTTCATTCTGTAACAGTGCAGGCATCACAGCACCCCTGGCAGGTTCTCATGACACCTGGGGGTGCTGCGGCATTCCAGTTGAGAACCGCTGATTTAGGTTGTTGGAAGATGCTTGGTGGAATGAAAAGCTAAGTCCTCAAACAGATCTAGCTATAAGATGACCCTGTCTCTGCAGCTGATAAAGAATAAAATGGGGAAGATAAGAGGGAATGTAAGGAGATCTTCAAAGTAAAAAGCAGAATTTGCAACCCCAGTTAAGGAACCCCCTCAGTTTTTCAGACTAGGGGGAACTTAAGACACCTCTCTTGGAACTGTTTTTAAATTGATCATCTGGAATTATTTTAACATCAGTAGAAACATGCTTTTGTTTTCCCTCCATCTTCCCTTCATCTTTTGCTGCTTCATTTAAATATCTTTACTTTAAGACAAGGTGGCCCCAGCTCTTTACTATAACCATGGTACTTCCAGTGCCTGAGGCAGCACCACCTATATGTGACCAGCAGAAGGAGTAATTTCCAACAGGCTAGGTTCTCTCCTTTCAATCTTTCCTGTGTTTTTCATTTCCTTTCCCATGCTATTGTCTTCCTCTTTTCATCCTCTCTACATGAGTCCTGTATCCTTTCCCCCTTGCTCTCTGTCTCCTTGTCTCTCCCCTTCCTTCTGTCCCACACTTAGGCTGGTTTCTGTAGCCCTCTCAACTTCCTTATTTTGCCATCTCTTTCCTTCCTTTTCCTCACAAAACAACCTGGTGTTTTGGCTACTTTTGGACGGCTCCTTGTAGTGAAGCCTGATATTTCCATTCTCTGATTCTCCTCACCTGCTCCTTCTGCAATGATTTGATTCCCAGCTCTTGAGATTCTGACTTTGTGGTGGAGACATTAGTCACACTCAGTCAGCCCAGATCCTGCAAGTGCTTGTTCCTCCTCTCCCTGGGTTACCAAAGGAACAGGACATCCTCTTAGTACCTGGATATTCACTAAAGCCTTTTCACACCTTTGTGATTACTTGTTTCATCCTTTGCACTTGGCTGCCACATTGTTAATGATATTTCCTTACCTTTTGCAGGAGGATTTAAAACCTATGTGAAGGATGGAACGCAGAGACAATGAATTATGGTGGCCTTAGGGTGAGTTAGCAGTTGAAGTAAATCATGTGCAGCTTGGTTTGCGGTCAGATTTTCAGAACATAGATAATCCACCTATAAGGGCCAACAGATGGTAGAGTCACTGGTCAAAAACACAGGCTCTGTGGCAATGTGATGCTGCTGTTGCTATGGTTTTTTTAAATTATGGTAGTGCATGGTACACACAGGCCCCAATCAGGGTTGAGCCAACTGTGGTAGGTGCTGTACAAACACCTGGGTCAAGTTGATCCTTACCCCATAGCTGTTATAGTCGCATTCAGTTCTTTAGGGCTGAGCTAATAAGTGTTACACTATCTTAGGTCTAGTCTACAGGACAGTGAACTCCAGCTCTGCCTTCACAACTCTGAATGTGTCCACGCCTAAAGCTCATCTGCAGCTGCCAACAGAGTTACTTCTCCTCGGCTAAATAGAATAAGGCTTCTGCCAGTTGCCCTGATCCTTTCCCAGGGTACATTTTATGCTGTGGTAGCACAGCTGCTTGGTGGAGCTGCCAAAAACATCTGTGTGTGCATGCACTCTGGTACCTTGGCAGTAGTGACTGCTATCCACAGCCAGACATTTCTGAGGTATCAAAACACAAACCCCTAGTACTACTTTGGTCTTGAACTCAAGCCCATGCCTAAATCCAGTCTGGATTCTGATCTGAAGGACCTTCTGCCCCATACCAATTTTGTTTTGGCTGTGGTCTCAAGCAGTGTTTAAAAGGCCCCCGAGTAGCAGGCCTGGGAAATAATATTTCTGAAAAGTGAGTGGAATCCCTAGGCAGAGAAAACTGCAGGAGAAGCCCCCATGACTGCCCTGCCTGGCTCCATCCCCCACCCAACCCCAGCCTAGTCCCGGCACTTAAACAAAAAAAACAGCAACCCCAAAGTCCTACACTCACTGGCTATAGCAGGGGCTCTGGGGCCTCCAGGCAGAGCTGCCACGTGACAGCTGCTGCACAGGTGCCAAGCAGAGGGGGCGATCCCCATGCTGTGCCACAAGCCCTCAGAGTCCCTGATCGTCACTGCCAGAGCTGGTGAGTGCAGGGCTTTTTTTTTTTAAGTGCCAGGACTAGGCTGGGGCCGGGTGAGGGATGGTGCCAGGCAGGGTAACCATGGGGGCTTCTCCCTCAGCTCTCCCTGGCCAGTCCAAATCTCTGAGTCAGCACCAGTTCTCCAATTCTGATTCGGCCAAATCAGATGGGGACAGCAATTCGAATCACCGAATTGAATCACTGTCCTCTGAATTGGCCAAATCTGAATCAAATATTCCCTTTTCGCACGGGCCTACTGGTCAGTATTACATCAGGAATAATCATTGGCTAGTAGTAATTCATGTACTTACATCCCTGAACAAATGGTTCCCTGAGAACACAGGGGACTGGACTTTAGCCACCTTGCAGTTCTACCTTCCCCTGACCAGGGAGTGTAGTATGGAATGTCTGCCCTCATTTTTCCAACTCTTATTCTGATGGTTTTAGCCCCAGATTCCACAGAACAGACCTGTGCTATTCAGTACTTCAGAAGAGTGCACATTACACCATTTGGCAATTAGCACAGCATATGCACTGACACATGGTTTGCCAGTCATTCACAGTGTAAGGAAAAGAAGAGCTGTGACATGCCACTCAAACAGTGGAATATCTCAGTCTAGAGCCGGTGTGATATGCCTTCTGCTGTTTTGCTGCCTACTATGAAATGCTGTAGACTGTTACTCCATTTCTATTGTGTTGTATTCTTGTCTACATGGTATTCTGAAACAGTTAAATAACATGAAGATGATGTTTATCTTACATTAGTAGTTTCTTACTTGAGTCATACTTGGATTACTTATTAAGTGAAGAATATTATCCAGTTCTGTGTCACAAATGATAAAACTCTACATGAATGTATTCCAGTCTTGCAAAATGGTTGCAAGAATTTACCAGCCCACACAAAACTACTTTCATATTCAATTACCACAAAGGTATTGGTGATAAAAAAGTAATGCCATACCTGGCCATCAGAAAGATAAATCTGTTAGCTTCAGGGAGTAAGTTGGGCTTTGCAAAGCTGCCATAACCTATTTATTAGTTATACAAATGTGTGATACTTCTCAGTCCATTTTGCAGTTGGTACACGTTACTGGTATGACCTTTTTGTATGTTACTTTTCAACAAAAATAGGCCATAAAGTAGGGAGTAGGATTTGCCGAGGGGAGAGAGTTGAGGGGTATGGACTCTTTCAGTTCTAAAATTAATGGTTCTAAGCTTATCCAGTAGTAATGGAAAGTTGCTAGCCAGTGTTGGGTTATGTATCTGATGGGTTTGTGTCTTCTAGCTGGCAAGTAATGATATTTCCCAGTCTCAATGGAGAGGCTGAGGACTAAATAATAACAATGAACCCAGTTCCTTTGTTGTAAGATGTGATAACGGTAGATCAGGGGTAAGCAGTGTTTCCTGGCAGGGGGCCAGAAAATACTCAGTTTAGGTTTGAGACCAGAGCCACTTGGTCCCAGCCACCTGCTGCATCTCCCGGTCACCCCTCATGGTGTGCTTCAGGGAGAGTTCCCTCTTTGCAAGAGCCCTGAACACCTGAT